CCGTCGATTTCCGCCGGCCAGCGTCGTGATGAAAATTCCAGGAACTTTCATTGGGCCGATGTGTGTGTATATATATATATATATATGCACGGCTGCCACACGTACATACATATATATAGAGATATCAATGCATGCATGTGTACGCACATATGTGTACATATAGGTAATTCTGAGCATATGCATATCCATATTATGTTTAATATGAATACATGCGCGTGCACATGTGCTTATACACATAGCCATGTATATGTATCCCTCTCGCTTTCCTCCTCTTTCCCCCTCCCTCCCCTCTTCTCGCCCCCGTTCTCCCGTCTCCTCTTCCTCATCCGCGCCCCACCCTCTACCGATTGCCCTACATCGTGATGGCGAGGGAATGAGCGGTTTGGTTTTCAGCCCCTCGAGGCCAGGCCTCAATGGGCGATGCGGTTCGTTTCAACCAAAACTTCAAAATTGGCTTGAGGGTAGATGCGTTACACAAATCATCTGCTGATTCATACGGTGCGCGCTATGGCATTGCATAGCAATTCGCGGTCTTACGGTTCGTACGAAGACGAGTCAGACATTGAAGAAACCGCGCTCATCGCGAGGGCTTCCCACATGCTAAATTCGGTTTCGCTGTACTGCGCATGTGCGTTATCATTGAGACGCACTCAATTGATCCTGATTTGATCCTGATTTGAGCTGTGCGCTTTCGTGGCCAGACAATGAAGAATATTCAAAAGTATACCTGCATGTTGCAATCAGCGCGCCCATCGGGTGTTCCTCCGACACATGATCGAACATTCTAACTGCTAGGTGCAAGATACAACTATCACCCTCACAACTTTAGATGCCGTTCCATTTCTACACGACGGCAAAACAGTGTCTATCTATACGTATGTATACGCATGTGTAGATCGATATGTGTGTGCATTGTAAATCGATCGCTGCATGCGTTTCTCCAAGTAGCTCTATATAACTGAAAGCTGCAGCTCTACAGTACGTGCAAGCGGTGCTCTGCTTTCCCAACTCTCGCGGAAGGTTGGGGGAGCTGATTCGCCTCGCTGTCGGCGCTTCGAGGAGGAAGAGGAGGAGGAGGAGGAGGAGGAGGAGGAGGAGGAGGAGGAGGAGGAGGAGGAGGAGGAGGAGGAGGAGGAGGAGGAGGAGGAGGGAGGAGGAGAGGAGAGGAGGAGGAGGAGGAGGAGGAGGAGGGGAGGGAGGAGGGAGGAGGGAGGAGGAGGAGGAGGAGGAGGAGGAGGAGGAGGAGAAGGAGGAGGAGGAGGAGGAGGAGGTCGAGTAGCTCTATCCCCACCGGATCCTCTCCCCTGCAGGCATGGCGGGGGCGGGGCCGCCCGCGAAGGACCCGGGCCCCAAACAAAAACCGCCTCGAGGAGCTCGGGGGCCGAGGCTCTTCCCATGGGGGGCCGTGCAGCCAGCCCCGGGCCCGAGGAGGCCCCGCACTGGCCCCGGCTGCGGGCAATAGTCATGTCCACATCCAGTGCGTCTTGGAGCTCTGGGCTCTCCTCCCCAGGAACCGTAGACGAACTGGATGTGGACAAAACTCTGGCTCCAGGAGGCTTGATTTTTATCCATATCCGGTGCGCCTCGGCGTGGCGGCACCTCTTCCCAAAAAGTCCACGACGCTCTGGATATGGATATAAGTACTGCCCGCACCGGCGAGCAGGAGAACCTTGAGATCCATGGCGTCTTCATCTTTTTCGAACTGGGCGCTGTCGCTTCTTGCGGGCCCCCGGGACCCTCACGGATCGAGCCGGCTCGAGAGATGACGAATAGGGCTCCTCCGGGCGTGATTTTTCCGATGCTGCAGCTCTTTCGCTACGTCGGATCTCAGGGGCGGGCGAGGTTCGGGCTCTGGGCTCGAGAAGTCGTTCTGCATTGTTCTGTTCCTGGGGACCGTTCCCCGGGACCGTCGAGAACGGATCTGGGGTGAAAAGCTGCACAGGTAGACCCCCAGGAGATGTCCAGGGACCGATTTTGGCACAATCATCACCACGGACGTCGTGGCCTTTCTCATCGGTGCATACAGGCACCCGCCTTTTTCAGGCACAACCTTTAACGGGCTTTATACAGACCTGTTCTTTCTCTCAGTGGACCGAGGACTATGTCATCCTGGTCCAGGCAGAGCTTGCATGCAGGGACCGATTTTGAGTGGATCTGCAGTTTCCTTGGCCGATCTTGCTGGGCCCATCCAGTTCCAACCTCCGGCGCCGCCTCCAAAGGGGGCGCCCTCGCCAGGCCCCGGGACTGTCAACAAGATCACTCGGAATGACAAGCCGCCGTGAGGAAAGATGGTGCTCGAGGAGCATGATTTGTAAACGCATCCTTTCTCGGAGCTCCGCGCGCAATTCTCGAATGGCGCTGGGGCCCCCACACAGGCGGCGCCTTTCGGCGCCGCCCCTGGCATGCTCCGCGCGCTAGGGAGGTGGGTCCGCGTCCCTTCAAGCTCGGGCCGCTTGTCTACGCCTGCAAGGAAATATGATGTCTCCTCCTCCTCCTCCTCCTCCTCCTCCTGCTCCCCCTGTTCCTCCTCCTCTGCGGCCTCCTCCCCCAGCTCCGCTCGCAGGCGTAGACGCGCTCCGCGCGGTCCTCCGAGAAATCAGGAGACAGACACAATGAATCGTCGATTCCCCAGGAGATATGGGAAAATGTGGGAAGTGGAGGGGAAGAAAAAAAAACAGAAAATATAAAAAAGTGTGGGGGATCCTTTTATTCGTGTGTATTTATTCGTGTGTGTCCCGGGGCCCCTTCGCAGACGCGCTCCGCGCGGTCCTCAGAGAAATCGTGCTGGTGCCGTGTACTGCTCCTCTATAGCAGGAGGCTCGCCGGCTGATCCCTGTGGTGCTGGGCACGTCGAGCCACGGGGGCAGCGACAGGGGGGGCGGGGGGGGCGGGGCTCGGGGGGGACTGCGCCCCTCAGTGCCCCCCCAATCGTGCGTCGTAGAAGATCAGGACGGGAGGTTTCTGGCCATTTTCGGGCTCGGTTGGCCCTCGCCGGGCCTCGGGAGCGTCAAAAAACGCTGCAGCATGAAAAACCGGCCCCGGGGAAGGCGTCTGGACTTCAGGGACGGCGTCCTGAACAAAAATCAAAACGTCGCATGTCTGGGCCCGCAAGCCGCGAACTAAAACACTCGGGGGTGGACAGACCTCCCACCCTGACGCGTCGATTCGCGAACTGGCCGTTTTCGGTCCGCGAGAGGGCGTCGCGGCCGTCATCTTTTGCGGCTCCAGGTCCGTCGGTTTCGGTCCCGGGCCGTTTTCACGAAAGGGTGGTTTGCTGAAGGCAGAGAGAAAGTAGGGAGAGAGAAGAGAGAGAGAGAGAGAGAGAGAGAGAGAGAGAGAGAGAGAGGGAGAGAGAGAGAGAGAGAGAGAGGAAAAGAGAGAGAGGAAAAGAGAGAGAGAGAGAGAGAAAAAAAAGAAAGAAAGAGAGAGAGAGAGAGAGAGAGAGAGAGAGAAAGAGAGCGCACTAAGCCTCGGGTCGCGAGCCTTTCACAGCGCGCGGGGGTCTGGGGCGCTGGCGTGCCTCTCTTCGGGGCCTCGGGGGGCCCCTGCCAGGGCCCCCCCTTCGCCCCCCTTGCCGGGACCGCCTGGCCGTCGACGGAACGGCTCGGGAGGAACGACCGATCCCGGGGACAGGCTCGGGGGGGAATAGGCTCGGGGGGATTCAGGAGGGGAAAAAACACAGACACAATGAATCGTCGACTCCTAGAAAAGATGGGAAAATATGGGAAGTGGGGGGGAAGACGAAAACCCAGAAACTATGGGAAAATATGGGGAATCCTGTTATTAGTGTGTATTTATTTGTGTGTCCCAGGGCCCCCACAGGGGGATTTTCGACGAAAAATAAGAAATACCCCATAAGTGCCCCAAAATGGCCAAACCATGCTCAAAAAATAGTCCCCAGACTATTTTTGGATCACTTTTGGATTATGTTGGGGTATTTTTTATTTTTCGTCGAAAGTCCCCCTGTAGGGGGACAGGCCCGACTTAATCCCAGGCCCGCTCAAGTCGCCAAGCAAAACGCGACGGGAAGTCGCCGTTCATTTTCGGGGCCGTTGGAGGCCCTTGCCGGGGCCCCGCGGGCTGTCAACGAAGACGGTTTTGGGAGGGTAACAGCCGATCCCAGGGAAGGGGCGAGGCCTCCAGCGGTCCAGGTTGCGAAGAAGAAGTGGCGACGTCGGGGGTCTGGGCTCGACACCCAGTCTTTCGAGTAGGAACGCGACTAGAGAATTGATTGACCCCAGAACTGAAACTCCCGTCGAATCTACGGAACAAATGACGTCACATGTTCGTATCATCCGGAACTTGTACGTCTTTTACAGTAGATTCCACGAACAACTCAAGTTTGGGGTCCACCAATTCTGTAGTCGATCCCCTACTCGATTCGTCGATTCATCGCCCATGATGGCCTGATAGCCCACCCTGCCCAGGACCGTACAGCTCTGCAGCCGAGGGCCGATCACCAATCTACCGCCGACGGACCGCCGAGTCCAGCCCGATGCCCCCCCCCTCCCGCCCTCTCGTTGCCCCTCGCGAGCAAGTGGCGCCGAGCGCTTTTCGAGAAGCACTTCCCCGAGTACGGCGCCGACTTCATGAAGCCGGACATCTCGGAGGAGGGCTGGTGGAGACGGCGGCGGGCCTCCCCAGCCTATGTTGTTGTTTTTCTGGGCCCCCTGGAGGCTTCTCGTCGCCACGGCTGGATCCGCCACGGAAAACGGAGGGGGGGGGGAGGAGGAGTGAGGGAGGGATGGGGGGGGGAGGGAGGCATGGGGGGAGGGGGGAAGGTTGGAGAAGGAGAAGGTCGAGGAGGAGGGGGAGGAGGAGGCGGAAGAGAAGGAGGAGGACAAGGAGGGGGGATGAACCCTGGGAGGGACCCAGGGACCGATGCGCGGATCGATTTTCGGTGGACGATTCGGCCGGGCGGGCGAGCGGCCGTGGTTCCCACGGGCCCCTCCCTCCGAGCCATCGACGAGAAGGCCATCCGCGCAGAGGTGCCCGAGGATATGGTCGTCGCGATCGCCGGCGGCAAGGCCGATGCGCTGGTGCCGCGGCTGGCGGGGCGCGAGGTTCGAAGAAGAACAGTCGCCATAAACATAAACTTTTGGCGCTCCGCGCGGATTTCTCGGATTGGTGCCTGGGCCCCCTGGCGGCGCCTCCGGCGCCGCCCCTGGCGCGCGGAGCGCGCCAGGGAGGGGGGGTCCAGCGCAGGTCCAAGAAATTCGCGCGGAGCGCCAAAAGTTTATGTTTATGCAGTTTTTGTTTTATCGACCAGGCGTAAGAGTGACCTTTCGCCGGAGTGACCTTTGGAGCGGGCGCAGGTGGGCCCCCAGATGGCGGAAATAGACGCGGTGGCAGCGGCTTGCGCGCTTGCTTTTGGCCCCCCCGCGGTCCCCAAAAGCCGCGCAGCAAAGGTTACTCTTAATGGAGGATGGCGATTCATAAATGACCGGGGGTCGTGTTCACGCGGCGGCGCCCGGGATGACGATTAGAACAAACCGGCCGCGGGCTGGAAAGCTATGTTTTAACATCGTTCTCCTCCAGTCAGAAACTTGTGCAGAAATAGCAGAAAACTATTTGTTCAATCGCTCTCCCCCATTTTTTTATTAATCGTCATCCCGCATTACCCAGGGTCACCCCTGCGTGTAGCCGACTTCTCTTCTTCTAGAGGTGCTTCTCGTGTGCATGGACCAGGTGGTCTGCTGCGACGGCGCCGTGCGGGAGAAGCCCGAGGGCGAGGAGCAGGCGAGGGCCTACTTGGAGTCGTACCGGCAGGGCAAGGGTGCGACGTGCGTCAACGGGACGTCGGGGGCGGCCAAGAGGGGGGTGATGACCAGGGGGGGGTGGATCTCATGGCGTGTGCCATGATTTTTCCTCAGATTTCATGGCGCCTCTTCTTATTCCATTACGTCCCTGGCCCCTCCCCCTTGGGCTGCGCACATGCCGCCGGCCATGATTTGCACTCCCCCCCTCTCTTGGACACCCCCCTCTTGGCCGCCCCCGAGGATAGTGGTGCACAGCACGGCAACTGGCAAGCGCGTCACTGGGGTGAACAAGGCGACCGTCTTCTGGAAGCCCTTTCCCGATGCTGTGATAGATCATTTGCTGCAGAAGGGCGACATCTTCACTTGTGCAGGCGGCTTCGTTGTGGAAGATCCTGAGCTCAGTACATATCGGGACCGAATAGAGGGCACGATTGAAGCCGTTGAGGGCCTGCCCATCAAACCGCTGCGGGAGTTACTTTTGCTAGCAGCGGCACCCACCGTGACACACGTTCTCTTCGATATGGACGGCCTGCTGCTGGACACGGAAAGCGCTTACACCGTGGCGCAACAGGAGATTGTCGACCGTTGGGGGAAGACCTTCACTTGGGACTTAAAGTCCAAGATGATGGGCAGGAAAGCGTTGGAAGCAGCGCAGATCTTGGTGGACGATCTCGGCTTGCAAGGAAAGATCACCGCAGAAGAATTTGTAACCGAGAGGGAGAAGAAGCTGGATGTGCTGTTCGCGAACAGTTCGTTGCTGCCCGGAGTGGAGAAGTTGATACGTCATCTGAGCAAGCACAAGGTGCCCATGGCTGTAGCCACCTCGTCGCACCGCAGGCATTTCGACCTCAAGACTGGCAAGCATAAGGAATTATTCGGCCTGATGCACCACATTGTGACAGGAGACCAGGTCGAGAAATCTAAGCCAGCCCCAGACATTTTCCTCACTGCGGCCGCCCAGTTCGAGGGTGACACCCCCGACCCAGGCTCCGTGCTGGTCTTTGAGGACGCCCCGAACGGAGTGGAGGCAGGGCGAGCTGCTGGCATGCAGGTCTGCCACGTGCCAGACGCCAACCTGGGCATCGACCAGCGTGGCGGCGCGCACTGCGAGCTGGCCTCCCTGGAGCAGTTCCGGCCGGAAGACTGGGGCCTTCCGCCTTATTGACGAGGGCTTCTCGCCAGGCCTGGTGACCGGCCGGGGAAGTAATGCTTCTCTGAGCTGCCGCTGGGCGTGCGCATGATCCCGGCACCGTTCAGCGTGAGTTCTCCATCCTTGGCCGGCCAGGCAGCGAGCGCCGGAGCGGCCAGGGATGCGACACATGGGAAAATTTGCCCCGCCAGCAGAATCTAGACAGCACGTGAATGCAGGGTGGCCACGGGGCACAGCACAGCACTACACAGCACGGCACAGCGGGGAACGACTCTGCGACGGCACGGCACGGCATGGCACGGTGTGGCGGCAAGGGAGATCCTCGGCTTGGCGGCGCGGCGCGGAGCGGCACCCTGGGGAAGGCATCCGCCAGCTGGCGGCACGGGGCGGCACGGCACAATTGGGAGCAGACTCGTGGGTTGCCGGCACGACGCGGCGCGAGACGTGGCGGCATGGCGCGGGACGGCACGCGTGGGACGCAATCGCGAGTTGGCAGTGTTAGGTTCCCTCCTATCATGCTGCACTGTGCTCCGGTGCAGCAGAACGCTGTCCGCTCCGCGGGGATTTCTAGGACCCGTGTTGGACCCCGTGGCAGCGCCTCCGGCGCTACCCCTGGCGCGCTCCGCGCACCAGGCAAGGGGGGTCTATCGCCGATCCATGAAGCCCGCGCGGACCTCCGAGAGCTTGCGTCTTTCAGGAGGGGAAAAACACACAGACACAATTAATCGTCGATTCCTAGGAAAATGTAGGAAAATATGGGAAGTGGGGGGGAAGACAGAAACCCAGAAAAGATATGAAAATACGGGGAATCTTTTTATTTGTTTGTATTTTTTTGTGTGTCCCAGGGCCCCTTCAGTCTTGATGTTTCCCATGTCTAGTCAAGGTAAGAGGAAGCAGAATGACTGGGACAGGGGGAACCGTTCCAGAGCGATCTGGAATACTTCCAGAGCATTCTGAACGGCTGTGGCGCCCAGTGCTTCCTCCAGAGCCGCCAGATCTCGGAGACCCTCGATGCGTCCCTGTTTCGATGTTGTCCCGGTCCCAGTTTCGACTTGCGTGGAGGGATGGAGGGACATAGAAGGAGAGAAGAGTGTGACGCTGAGGAGGGAGGTAGAGAATGGTAGCCCGCCATCCTTCCCCCCTCTCGTCCTCTCTGTTGCACTGGGCGCTCGTGCTGGTAACTGTGCGACTAGCGTGCGGTCGATAGCAGGGAGGCGGTCGGCGGGATTGACCTCGCCCGCTTGTTCGTGATCCTCTGCCTCCTTTTCTCCTCCCCTCTTCATTTCTCCCTACCTCCCCTGGCCCCCCAGTAAGGATATCAGCAGGCCCCTGGAGTTAGGTAGAGGATATTATAAGCAGACAGAGTAGAGTGTTCAGAATGAACTGAAAGAGTGAGATGCTCCGCGACATCGCGGCTCAAGTCATCCAGAAAAAACATTCATAAGCTAACTCTGGTAGCGGAGCTGGCTTCGGTCAGCTCCACGCCAATCCCGGCCCTCGGCGCGCAGCCGCGCGCACGATCTGCGCCACGAGGCGCTCGACGGCTTCGGCATCCCGAAGCACTACATGCTGAACATCAGCACCTTCATCATTGGCGTGGTGTACCACGCCCTCGGCGACCCCGCGAGATTCCACGGCACTGGATACGAGAAGCTGTACGCAGACCACTGCATCGAGAACCACGACAGTGAGTTCCACTTCACGAGTTTCACATCCTTGGAGACTGACAGCTGGTATTCTAGAGACTCTACTCTGTTCTTCGACGTCAGCGACGACAAGATGGCTGGTCAGGCTGACTATGACAAAGGCGGTCTTGGTCTAGAGGACTTCACCAAGAACGTTCCGCCGGGCTGGAAGCCCAATGTGCGAGGCTACACCTTCCGGAAGTACATGCAAAAGCTACGACTGTGGTGGAGAATCACAGATGAGATGAGTGAGGAGCGCATCGGACCATTGATTGTGAGTAGACTGAAAGGACCGCCGTTCACGCAGGCCATGAGCTATACCATTGTCCGAAATGGAACATCTTATCGAGGCGACGAGGCGATGGCTCTTCCATCGGTGACCGCTAACCCGGCAGCGGGCATCGAAGGTGAACACAGTGGCATCAGGCAGTTCCTGGACAAGCTGAAGACCATCTACGAGCTGCACGATCAGGATCGCATCGGCATCGTTCTCGACGGCTACTTCGACTGCAGACGCGGCAATGGTGATCTCACTACATGGATTGCGCAATACGAGATGGCTTTCGACGACGCCTGTGAAGAAGGCGGTCTTCAAATGAACATGGTAGGCAAATCGCACTTCCTCCTCAAGAACTCCGACCTGCAGGACAGGAAGATCGACGACATCAAACTACATGTCGGAGGTGACCTGTCGCAGTATCAAGAAATTCGTGGCCTCATGATGCGAATGGGCAAACAGGATCAATCACAACATCATCAGGATTGGGCACTCTACGTCGACCCAGACAGTGGCGAACACGACATCAATGACTATCACGAGATCTGGTATGAATGAAGCCTACGATCTCAACGACTACGAATGGGGCTGGGCAGAGGATGAAGGATGGAGTGCCACCATCGACGGCGAATGGTACTATATGGTTGATGATGACGCCTGGTTGCAATATGATCATGATGGCGAATGCATCGAGGAGCTTACCATCGAAGATTACGCGACATACTACGGAGGCGGCAAAAGCAGAGGACGAGGCAAAGGACACAGCGGTGGCAAAGGATTTCGACGCAATAGCAAAGGTAAAGGCAAGAGCAAAGGCAAACGAAAGGGCAAGAAGTTCATTCCAAACTACGGTGGCAAAGGTAATCAAGGTGGGGCATCCAACGGATGCAACAGATGCGGCAGCAAATGGCATCGCAGTGAGATGTGCCCAACGAAGGAAGAGGAACAACAAGCCACATCACCACCGCAGCATCGTCCAAAAGGACATGGACGTGGCAAATCTGGCAGTCGTCACTATGCAAATCAAGAAGTATCTGGTTCTGGTGTTTCAACGTCGTCATATGGTTACCACAGCATGTCCGCTGCAAGCTGGCATCATCTACCTGACCTTGACGGCGACTCACCGGATCAAGCAGAAGGCGGTCTCACAGGCACGATCACGTCCATGGCCAGTACGATACCGACACAACCACGCATTTTGGAAGAATCCGACGACATCACCACCGAGCTAGATCAGCAGCGCTACGAGCACCACCATGATTACCAGCGAGCGACGGCATCCTCGAGTAAGTTCCAGGATGAAGGTCAGTACAGTACAGCATCAAAACAATCCTGGAAGAAAGACTCGAAGATAGAGCCTCCGCATCTTGGTTTCAAAGCACCAGTGCCATCGGGCAGGACCACGAGGTCTTTCCAGCCTTCAGCTTCAACAAGTGGTCTTACACTGGCCGAACGTTTGGCACAGCAGTACGGTGCTACATCACAGACAATCTGGCCATCTACACCCGAGGCTTCCTCCACGGCTACAGCAATGGAGACACCTCCGAGACAGCGTACATTGGCCGAGAAGCTTCAATCTCAATACACTCTGAACTTGCTCTCATCTAAAGTGGTACGTGCGCATGCTGAACAGGAAGGAACCGTCTACATCACGATTCAAGGCAAACCCTGTCTAGGGATCATCGTGGACCCAGGTGCATGTGACGGTCTCCTTGGCACAGAGACGCTACGCGAATGGGTTCAGCACATATACGGGCCACGAGGCATGAAATATCAGTGTGGCAAGTCAGAGGCTTCATTTACTGGCATCAGCGGCGAAACGGATCCCTCCTGCGGAGAGTTTGTTGGCAACATTGGTGTTTGTGGCTTACCTCGGAACACTACATATCGTGGAGACCTCATCGGAGGAAATGGTTCACGTTGTCCAGCATTGCTTCCAACTACCACTCTCTTGGAACAGCGAGCGATCATCTACGAGAACATGTTTCCAAGTGGTGATGGGATTTTGGCCATCATGCCACCAGGCCAGCGCGCTTTCGCCACGAGGCTCTATCTCACGGACTCGAAACATCTCTTCCTGCCGATCGACAACTTCAAGGAACAGTCGATCAGCGAGCGCACAGACCTCATCAACAGAATCGAGCATCGTACAGCAGAACTGCTACATAACTGTCCCACGACGCGAACACGAAGCTCTGGGCTATCACTGCACGTCGACACCGAGACGGACAACAAGGACATGGCGAGTCAGGCACCAGACTCCAGTCCTGCTGCAGCTGAACCTCTTCAGGATCTCGACGAGAAGACCTTGTCTGACACTACCACCAAGACACTCTCCGAGGCCCCTAAGAAGCAGGATCAGTGTAAGGATATGGATACCGAGCAGAACACGAAGATCTATCTCAAGTCGGATCATCCTTCTCAGAATCCACCCTCGGCAATGTTGACGACAAAGGCAGTGTGCGTGAGCTATCATCGCAGCGATGCCGAGGCTTTCTACGAGCATTGGAAGCAGTTCAAGGTGCCCAGGCATCACAGCGACCTATGGCCAGACAACTTCTCAGCCATTGAGCAGAAACAGATGGACATGGAATACAAGGCCCTACCAGAGCATTTTTATCATCGTTCCCGTCTACCAATGATTACTCCCAACAATGCAGATGAGTTCATACAACATATGGAGACATGTCAGCAAGCAATGATACCATTACTTCAGGAGGTATGCTCTGGCACGGGAAGCACATCAGCCGAGGTCTACTCCAACCAGTGTATTGTACTTCCACCGATAGACTACCGATACGGCTGGGACCTACATCGTAAAGATCATCGGGAGGCCTTAAAACGACTGGTGCAAGCTTTTCGACCTCGACACACACTATGCGCTTTCTCATGCAGGCCTTGGTCACAGTCAACCAACAGAGCAGATCCTCACGAGCTGGAACAGCGTCGGCAAGCTGAACGCCCGATGCTGTATTGGTTCACGAACAACTTGTTTCCAGACATCCTACAGAATGACGGCAACTTCATTGTGGAGAACCCTTGGCGCTCATACA